AACAAAACGGGAAATGGAGATGGAACTAATTCCAAAGATCTTGTCCCATCAGGAGCCTAAACACAGGAATCGATTTGTCGGGATAGGCAAATCCCTGGAAAAGAATAGACAATTAGTCCTTCAGGCAGACAAAGGAGGAGCCACAGTGATAAAGGACAAAAATCAGTATACCGATAAGATGGAAGATATTCTACAAGACAGGACATATTGTATACTGAACAAGGATCCAACTATGAAGATCAATGGGATCTTAAGTGCCATGCTAAAAGATATGTATACAAACGGGGAGATTGATGCATGGACAAAAAATTCCATAATAAGAAAGGATGCACGACCACCAACAGCATACGGATTACCGAAGATAAACAAGGCTAATAGTCAACAACGAGTTCGTAGCTTGGTGCAGAGAATGGCAAGGCTCACTGATGATGCCGACAACTAGGCCGGCGAAACGTTTGAGAATGTATCAAGTCTACTGTCAGATGCTGGGAATCAAGACAACTACTACGGCAGACGACTTCGGAATTGGTGCGTTCTAAATAGTCTCCCTGAACACAAGACCAAGTTGCGACAACGAGGTCAACCCACTTATATAAGTCGAAAGGAGATTGCGACCATACCCGAGGCCACAACATCTTGGTCTTCACATCTTCATATCTAATTTTTTATAGTCAAGCTAGGCCAGCTGAGTAAGCGATCTCATAATTTGATTGGATATAATTTGATTTTTCTACATGCTAGTGAAAAGTGAAGTGACTGCGAATGAAGCGCAAAAAGGATGCAGTTGTGACCGAACAGCTGCAGCCTTATCTAAAAAACTTATATTTTTAATCATGTAATGCTCCTCCATGGTTGTTTTGTTGATTTCTACAGTTTCTCTAATATTCAGTTTACCGGTATAGTCTTCATATCCAGATGAGCGTTTGGCATTGGGCTGTCCATCTGATGTCGGTCAATTTTGAATGTTGGACGCACAAACGTTTTAAGACTGTCTTATGTTCAAATAACCTCTTATCTATGGGCCGACAGATATCCCCCACATAGACGCTATCACATGAACACAAAACCTTATAGCAGCCAGATTTGTAAAGTGGATCCGAAATTTCCCTAAAAGATGACAATACTGAGTGTTATTTTCTCCTTATAAATTATTCTGATGTCCCACTTCCACAGTAATTCCAATATCTTTTTTCGAGAACTGACACGGCGGTAACATCATGACCCTAGTCGGGTGGTCCAGCTGCTTATCTTGTCCAAAATAGATGTTTCCCTCCACCCTATTCGCTAGTATTATAAAGCAACTCTCAAATAATCCCAATGAGTAATTATTCTTAAATAAAATTTTCATTAATCACCTAAGTTCCTGTACCCGATGGCTAACATATGCAAGACGCAGGCTCCTTATTCTGATTAAAAAGGAATCCCGCGTTTATGAATTTCTTATAAACATTTTTACCCAGTAAGTTTTTCGCTTTTACCAACAAGGGCATATAGAAAAGGTTGAGAAAAGGCCGTGACTACCATCATTTTTAGTTGCATGATGAACATGGTATTCCCACTGATTTCATTCATCAGCGTTAGGAATTCTCTTTGCCATATTACCATACGGCGAAGTAGCCATCCATGTACATAAGCAATAATTTGGGAACTAAAGGAGCTTTGTGTATTAGGCGACTTTTTAATCGAGCCATTTAATTATTAGCTAAAATTGAGGACAAACATTATCCCATTGCTAAGGCCTATGTTTGAACGTACAGTTTACTATTGAAAGTACAATATGTACATCTCAGCACAAAATTTGTTAGCATCATTAATGCCACCTTATCTAAATTTGCATTTATCATAATATCCGTGTTTCTGCCAAAAGTTAGGTCTAGAGCCTGAGTAGTTCTGCTTAAAAGACTGTTAGTGTGCATCAATTCTATATTAGGCAAACCTCCACTTTCTATCTTTTGTTCATCAACTAACTGAACGAATTCATAAGATTTTTTAAATGAAAAATGTCATGACTCAGAGAGTTGCTTCATTTGCTGATAGATAGAACGTGACGTTTTATGCATCCCTATACCACTATTAGTAATAATAATTATGAGTGTTATTCATTCATTTTGTACCTCATTGCATCTCGTTGTGTTCATGTTACACTTCACTAATTCCTCTTTTGTACGGAATGTTTAAGACAACTCCTGAGTCTAAAATTCAGGGTCACATGACGGACGAAAGCTCAGCAAAGAGTCATCGGCGATGCAAGGCGGTGCGCCGAGGACCTATTCGCACAAAGATATATTCACAGCTTATAAGCAATGACCCTACAGCTTTAGATGACGTCAACTTACGAATCCCTTCCCTTCAAAAGGAATAAAAGGTATGCCAACGGGTAGCCATAGTAATTGTCAAGCAAAACATTTTCCATTCTTTCTGTACTGAAGAATGTAGATATGAATATGGTGTTAGTGCTTTGTGTGGTCGAGGTCTCCTTTAGCTGTATTTTGTTGGAGTGACCTCGTTTTCGCAAATTGGTCGGATCGACAGCAAAGAGCTTGTGGAACGTACCTAATCCCGTGTCTTCTGTTATAGTATTTATGATTTCCAGCATCGGATCATGGACTTGGTACTTTCCCAAACGTTTCGCAGACATCGTCAGTTAGCGGTACCATCGCCAGCACAAATTTATAAGTGATTCAAGTGACAAGTGAGGGCCATCCCCTATACCAGTGATTACCAAACTGTGCGCCGCGGCACCCCAGGGAGCCACGGCCTCTTCACAGGGGCGCCGCGAAATAGTGTAAAAGCTTCAATTTGAGAAAATGTGCAGTGATTTGCAGGCTCACCCATCACATTAATTATTAAATATTAATTTAATGTTAATAAAGTATTAAAAAAGAAGATACATGAGTTTTATTTATTTTTATCTCTTACTTACGAATAGTCATACTCAGGGTAGGGCGCCATTGAAAAATTTTAATTGAAAAATGGCGCCGCGACTAGGAATGTTTGGGCACCACTGCCCTAGACCAATTTTTTGTTCAACCGCTGTAGCATCATTGCTCACTCCTATTTTATTCCCTAGCTTCTGGTACAGCATCCTTCTCTTAACCCCCTTCATATGTCCAATTTACTTATTCACACCATTCTTATGTTATGATACACACATAAATCACTGTCTGGCTGCCCATGAACATTAAGTTTGGTTCCCCATTAGCATCATACTTGAACATTTAAAGACTGGTGATGCTCATGCTTGATTTCAGCCAGACATTGATTTTAATGTGTAGCAATACACGAGAACACAGAATGCTGTTAATAGGTGAGTGGGGCCAATAGAAAAAGATCCAATATTGGAAGCTAGGATAAAAAAATATGGGCGATGAGTGATTCTATAACAGATAAAGAGAATTTGACATAAGGATTAGTGTAATGAGATGTGTTTTTTTTCTCTTTGATAAGCAGTAATAACTCTGTACTAATGGCGCCTCTCACCCACGATGCCGACGAAGCGCCTAGCAATGTACTAAGTCAATGATACGGTTCTGGAAATCACGAATACTATGACAGAAGACATAAAACTAGATAGCTTCCACAAAATCTTATTGATGCTCCGACCAAGTTGCGAAAACGAAGTCAAGTCAACAGAGACTATGAGCAAGAAAGCCACACCAACTTGGTCCTCATATCTACGACGAAAAAGGTTTTTTTCATTATTTTGATTAAGGAATAAAAGCAACCATTTTAGGAGTGTAATTAAAGTGGATAAATTTTTAATAAGATCAGGGGTGTGTCATGCAACTTCATGCAATATTATCTAGTCTTTCTAACTTTACTGAGAAAAATCATACTTTACAAAAAAAAACAAACAGGCAAAAAAATTAATTAACCTGTCACCACTTGAAAGACGCAGTCTGAGAATAGACTTAATCATTTTCTCCAATGCTTGTGCATCCAAATGATTGGAAGAGAGGTCTAGGGTAGTGAGGTATAGAACAGATCTTGAGATTAAGTCGATGAGCCCGACTGATGGTGACGCCAAAAACACAGCTTCAGTGAGAAAATTACCTGCAAGAGAACAATATAATAGGCTTGATGAAGGAGCCAATTTATGAAAAATTAAGCTACATAAATGAAAGTGTTTCTCACCATATGCGCATAATAAAGATAAAAGACATCTGATTCAAAGGATAGTCAAATGTAGAATAAACAAGAAGGCTATAATCCATAAATGATGAGGAAAATAGTCGGATTAGTTAACTTTTGATTTTTCCTTATTGAGAATTTAATAAGGCCAGAGATTATATCTTTATTTCACAAAGCCAAAACTAGGTAAGAATAAGATTGATTAGACTTGTCTTCATTACACGGTTTATGTTCTGGAATACGCAAAGCCGATTATTTTATAACAGGGGAAATAGTCCAAAACTTAGGACAACTTGTGCAAATTAGGACAATTTGGAGATGTTGTTAAAGCGACCTAGTTGTAAGTACCTTGTCTAAAGTTGTATGGTATGGTAGTTATGATAATTCCCAGTGTCGGGCCGTGGACTTGAGACATTTCCAGACATTCTGCCAGCTATTCTTAGAACCAATGAAGAGCTTAATAATTCAAATTGTTTAGGCAAAGATAGTGCTCCATAAAATGTTACATCCGTGGATGATTTTATAAAAATAAGATAAAAAAAGATAGATGAATCCTTAGTCTTAATAGATAAATCCCTAGCAGTCTTTGTATTTAAACATAAAATTAAAAGTAAATATTCTAACTAACCATCCAGATGTATTTCAGTAAGATTCGGAGAGCATGATTCTGGTTGTAAAGTACTCATGTTTGTTGAAGAGTCAAAGCCAAGCAGACGTTTAAAAACCTGCATACAGACTTGGTCACCTAGTCCGAGAAGCGAAAGAATTAGTTTACTTGTCTGACGAGCATGAGACACTAGTCTTGTCAGCTCCTGCGAGGTGAACATTGATTGCTGAAAGAATTGCTCAGAAGTCAAATCTTTTTGTGCGAATGCCTCAAGTGGTATAGGGAGAGAAGAGGCCTGGGTAGGATAGGGGAGATTTTCTTATTTTGTAAAAATCAAAAAAAGAAGTTCAAAATAGTTGTTAAAAAAATGACGCGACGGTTTCATTATCAAAAAGTGCAAATAAATGAATGAATTATGCCGAATTCGAATGTCCTACTTTTGAGCTTAACTATCGTAAACACACCAGAATCCATTACTATTTCAGCGAGCAATTCTATGACTAAGGAGCCGCTACCGCCGGCCATCAGTCGATTTGAGGAGCCAAGAGTCAGTCCTGGAAGCACAGAGACCAAACGATCTGCGGGCAGAAGAATAGTGCCATCTAAAGTGTGCAGAGTAATGCGCTGTTGATTTGAATAACTGGTTAGAGCCTTAGATGAAGGACGGAGGAGACGCCAGCGTTGATATGCTTCATCGGAAAGCCAAGCTACAGTTTGTGAACTAGGTAAGGAGAAAATGTGTAATTTTGTCTTATGAATGCTCGATATGAGCAAGCAACATAAGTTGATCAATATTAAGAAAGCAAATTCAAAGTTAAGAACAAAAGCCCAAGACGTAATGTAAAATCTAATGGATAGTGTATATGTGGGCACAGAGGACAAGTTCCTAAAGACAATAAGAATGAAACTTTAGCAGGTGAAGCGTCGAATCAAATAAGAATACACCCGTACAAAGAAGAGAAGAGCCAAAATATAATAATTCATTGAGTAGATGCCTCATCTTTATGAGTTGACATAAGGTTAAGAGCTTAGGTGCAACAGCAACGAGGACTTAAATAAACTGTCGCTTCGACTCTGAGTCGTATTGCAAAGAATGTAAAGATTATTTTGATAGAAAACAAATTCAGGTACGAAATTGAAATTATTCCTAATGATTATATCTAATTACTGGTATACAATGATTTGTGTGGAATC